TATAGATAATATTCCATTTTTGTTGCCTTTAGGTTGTTTTACGCTACAGACATATGTGTTTGTAGGCGAAAGAAACCCCGTGCACCATACTCTACTTGATCAAAGGCCAGAAGGTGGACGTGGGAAAGGGGATGATAATGGACCCCTCTCAACGCACGTTCCACAACCAGCCGATCCCCGCTGGGCACTTCAGGGTTAGCTTGACCAGTGTGAAATCGGGGCACGAGGATTTGCCTCTTCCAGTACAGCATGTGGGAGCGGACGACGAGACCCCGCCGTGGATTGGAAGCTGCAAGGGTTGGGTGCTGCTATGGCCGAAGAATCTTATTCGTCTGGAGCCGGCCGAGAGCACACCAATAACTACCACACATCAACAAGCATGTGCGGAGACCACCACCCCGCCTACGCAATTACCAGCTCCTGTAGTGCCGGGTGAGAGCAGCGGACGACATGATGAAGGGGGTGCAATAGTACTGGCTGATGTAATTTCTCCTGTAGAACAGAGAATGGATGATGAGACGGAGGTCGACCCTATGGATTACCTCAATACAAATGCGTATGACTGTGACATAGATATGATGAGTCAACCATATGATGAATCGGGCTATCAGCTTGCTAATGAGGATATGGATGATATGCCCGGGCAGGGTCGTACCATGGATTGCAAAAAGTCTCTCCTCATGAAATCCTCACAGGACACGCCTGAAGATGCCGCCTCAACACAGGCTCAACTAGCCGGGCGCGAGGGTCGTCAGTACTTAGCCCGGGAACACTTGGGCAGGGGTTAAGGAAGGGTCTAGAAGGTGTGCCCAAGAAAAAGGAGAGGAAGAGATCGGGGAAGGTAACTGCCTCCAAACAAGCCAGAGCACACAGCAGCCAGACGATACATTCTGAAGAGCGTGTACCCGTGAAAGGTGCGGTCATGTTCCATCTCACGGGCGAGCCGATGCTACCGCCGAAACCGCTGGAGGCACTATCAGGGGATCTCAGGAGACTACACGACCATGTGCTGTCGACTGAGAAAAGCCTACTAGCCTCAAAGGATCCAGGATATCCGACATACGTGGCTCGTGTGCCTGAGGGGAAGTGCTACGTCGACACACGGCCCGCGGAGGTGTTCTTCCTGCGGTTTGACCATATCTTTGAGATGTTTCTAACAAGGCGGCTTGATTTTACTATCGTCCGTCTTTTTGCGCTACATATGAGCTCCGTCATGAAGAGTGAAGAAGTCTCGCAAATCTGTGTGGCGGATCCGTACTACATGCACGAGTCTTTCTTGAGTCTCGGCGACTTTGAGCGTGAAACTGCTAGGGAGTACCTCCAAAACTTCATGGTACAGAATAAGGACCGGGAAATTGTCCTCGTGCCTTATCATCCAAAGTAAGTCAGTTCCGGACAACCCTTTCGTACATTTCAATCATTCCTTCTCTCTCATATGGGGAATAATTTGAGGTGTCTTTTCCCCGCAGCAACGGGCGCGCCGTCCTTATCGTTCTTTACCCGCAAGTCTCCCACGCCGTGTATTTTGACCCTTCCAGAGACTACGAGAAAAAGGACTACACCCACATAATGAATATTCTAGATGATGCTCTCCAAGGCTTCAGCTTTAGAGGTGGCCACGTGCATATCGAGAAACAAAGGAACAAGAAGATGGGTTTTGCGCATAAAACTAACTTCTCATGCATCCATGTCCCAAAACCAAGCAAGAAGGATGGATTCTACATCGTCCATCTCATGATTCAGTTCAACACGGATCACCAAAAGCTTTGCATTAACAGCAGAAATGATGATCATATCCACAAGTGGCTAGAATCTCATGGAGAAGCGAATTATAAACTTAGAGATGACTTCTTTCGCATCCAAAGAGACATTGCGATGATCATCATGAAAGAAGTCGTCGATGAGAAGGGGATGTTCCACCACGGCCCTATATCGCGAGCTGACGTCCGAACTCGCATAGGCATGCAACGTCTAGACCTCACGCCGTTCAAGAAGCTAGGGTTCGTCCTCGATGATATGGAAGGATGGAACTTCTAGTGATTTATGATGCCGATGATGATGATATGTGTCGGTTGAACTTGTATACTTTTTGTAGCAATGAAACTTTGTGATCGTCCACGGTCCCTGCCAAACTTGCGTAATGCTACTTTGTTAGTTTGCGTACGATGACCTGCGTACCTCTAGTTAATTAATTTGCATACTGTATATGTTGCATCTAGTTGCTAACCCTTTCTTTTTCGGTGTTGCTCTAGTATATTTTGTTGCATATATATGATTGTACATCCTCTTCATGAACATGCATCTCTAACAGGTACCTAGTTTCTTGATGGCGAGATGGAAATGCTATGTCGTGTACAAAGGGAAGGTTCCGGGGGTGTACAACGAGTGGCATGAGTGTCAGACGCAAGTGAATGGGTTCACGGGCGCCAGCCATAAAGGCTTCAAAAGTAGACAAGAAGGAGAAGCTAGTTACTTGAGGTTCACGCTAGCGCGAGAGAGGACTCGTAACCGCCACCTCATGTACTGCATAGTTCCGCTCTCACTCATAGTGATAGCACTTCTTGCGTATACCTTTGTTTAGATGGATGACGTTGTTGTAGTTGCAAGTATTCGAGACTTGCATGTATCGCTATTTTCGAGATGATGACAAGATATCACTTTGTGTTGGATGATGATTATGATGAGACTATTTGTATGTACATGCTATGATTACATTTGTGGTCTCGCAGGCATTTGTATGTGTATCATGATGATATTTCTATGTGCTAAAGATTCTTCTACAAAGCCTGTTCAAATACAAAACAAATATGCCAAAAAAACTACTTAAATTAGCAGTAGCGAGTGTATAAAAGTTAGCAGCAGCGCCACAGTAGCAGTAGCGCGTCCAACCAAAGAGCGCTAGCGCTACTAGCAGTAGCGAGCTTCACCTAACCGCGCTGCTGCTACACTTGTGTATCAGTAGCGCGGGTGCGCATGCGCTACTGCTATGAGTTAGCTGTAGCGCCTTATTAGTAGCGCGGGTACCCGCGCTACTGACACATCTAAAACCCGCGCTGCTGCTAGCCTTTTCCCTAGTAGTGACTTGATGATCTTCGTACTGTGAAGACAAATTATTTTTCTGCATTTGAAAATCTTAGTACTGAAAACGTGTGACCAATAGTGTTCGTACTAAACTATGGTCACATCTATTTAGGAAAGATGGTAAGATTTTTACTATTTTTCCTTTGTGCATCTTTTGCATACATTATTTTTAAGCTAAATTTCATTGCTAAGTATATTACTACGGTGTTTTTCAACAGGGACTCCCGATGATAGTTATGCCTCAGTGGATCGAGGCTAAAGGTCTCATCTCCATGGTTAGCATACGACCTACAATGCACATCAGTGCATTCACGATTTCTAAAAGAGAGCAAGTCTTAATAGTCAAAGACTGGAATAAAATTGTGAATGAGCGCAGAGAAGTACTAGGGGGCAGCAATTAGAAGCGCAACCCACAATTAGGAGACAGATTCGTCTGCATTCTCCAATATGACGAAGTAGGAGTGTTACACATGTTCTATGCTATTTTACCTGAGAGAGAGAGAGAGAGAGCAGCATGAGTGATTAGTTAGCTAGAATGAGTTTGAAGATGATGATGTGCTACACTATGGCTATGATGATTAAATAGCTAGTGTTGGTGATAATTACTATGATGATTATTACTAGCTAGTGTTGGTGGTGATTATATAGCTACCGTACCCAGTGTTGGTAGTGATTAGCTAGCTAGAATGAGCTTCAAGATAATGATGTGCTACACTATGACTATACCGATGGTAATGACTATGATGATGATTAGTTAGTATATACAATAGTGGGTGAAATGGAATGTTGATTAGGTCCAAGTGGAGGCAACATGTAGTGGTGATAAAATCATATGATGAAAATACTGTATATAAAACCGATACAAATACAGCGGAAATAAGCTGCAATTTAAAAGATACAGGAAAAATAAGCAGTAGCGCTTTTCAAAAGAAACGCTATTGCTACTTACTACTATCAACAGCACTTTTCAAGAACCCGCGCTACTGCTAACTAGGTATAGCAGTAGCGCTGGGCAAACATCGCTACTGCTACATGTTAGCTGTAGCGCGATAGCAGTAGCGCTGCTACCAGCGCTACTACTAGCATATTTCAAGCACTACTACTAGGGTTTTCCCTAGTAGTGACTACAAGCACTGAAGCGAGCCGAAGGCGCGCTGCCGTCATCGCGCCTCCCTCGCCGTAGTCGGGCAAAATTTGTTGTAGTAGACAATTGGGAAGTCATCGTCCTAAGGCCCGATAGGACCAGTGCATCAGAACAGCAACCGCCGCCGATGAAGAGTAACGTAGACCGGAAGGATCCAACCTGAAGAAACACAAACATATACGAACTACGACCAAATCCGAGAAAATCCATCAAGGATATATCCGCCGGAGACACACCTCCACACGCCTATCGACGATACTAGATACACCACCGGAACGGGGCCTAGGCGGGGAAGACCTTATCCCATCTTCAGGGAGCCGCCCGCATCTCGTCTTTCTAAGCAGGACATAAACCCTAACAAAAACTTGAAGAAACATCTAAAAATGGAGCCCTCCCATCGGCAAGGGCTGGGATCCACCGCGCCGCCATGGCCCTAAGGCCACCGGAGACGAGGCGGGTCGGCGGCGGCGCGGGCGGGAGGCAAAGGAACCCTAAGCTTTTCTTGAGGAGGAGGCAAAGGTGGCAATGGATCTCACTATTGAAAATGATACTCCCTCTGTAAAGAAATATAAGATTGTTTAGATCAGTAATATAGTGATCTAAATAATCTTTATTTTTTATAGAAGGAGTAGTACGGTAAAACCAGTCCAAGCCAATAACGACTAAAAAAATTAACGAATTAGGGAAGGGGGACCCCCTCCCCCCAATCAAAACTAGTGTGCAACCATCAACATGTACATCCACGTTCCACCAAAGAAAGTGTCCTACTATTACACTAGATCTTCCCTTCTCTGGGCGTGTTCCACTCCCAAAGCTCCTCGCTTTGGTTCCCCCTCCCTCTAACGGTCTTCTTCGGAGGCTTGGCTTTATTTCGGTGACCCTCGTTACTGCTCTCCCTCTCTCCATTTCTTCTTCTTGTTCTTTCCTTCCTAGTGTCATCTTGTGAAGCTACATGCATCACCGGCTCACCGGGAACATCATCCACGAGGTTGAGTAGCAGTTCTAGGTCTTCCACGACCTTCGACATGTCCGGCCTGCTCTTTGGGCTGCCACTCAGGCACTGGTATGCCACTAGGGCTGCCTTATGAGCTGCCGTGGTGGCATACTTACCCTCCAACGCAGGGTCCATGATTTTTCCTAGCTTTTCAGGGTCTTTGAGCCACGACCGCATGTGCTGGACTAGATGGTGCTCCCTACTAGGCCGGGTCTTGTCCACGGCTCGTCTTCCAGTGAGGATCTCCAGAAGAACGACACCAAAGCTGTAAACATCGCTTTTCGCTGTGAGGTGACCTAGAAAATAAAACCAAATGAACTGTTAGAAGTTGAAACTTTTTTGCATGCATGAGAGAGAGAGAGATAGAGAGAGAGAGTATACCAGTTAGGATGTACTCTGGTGCGGCGTAGCCATGGGTGCCCATGACACGTGTCGAGACATGGGTCTCGTCGCCTTCCGGTCCATCCTTCGCAAGGCCAAAATCAGATAGCTTCGCCTTGTAGTCCTGGAGGACAAAGTTCAGCCATTTCAGTACCACATCGCAATCATGTACCTACCGTGCACTAATGAGCTCCATCGACACAAACTCTGGAAAGTTGTTGGTTATGACGTACGGGTTCTAAACAGGCGGTAACGATGAAATTTGGTTAGAGTGCATTCTTTTGAATAGGCCTTCTCTCAACTTTCTAAAACAGGAGTCGTTGGGCGCCTAAATTAAACAACTGAATTGCTTTTTCGACAATAAAATGACTTGAGTGCTGTTTTGATGGGGCCTTCCAATTTGTTTCCTTTCTTATTGTCTATTTGTAAAGAAGAGAGTCTGCGTTGGTTACCTGAATTGATTAGTAATTGCATGTCTTAATCAGAAAAGCAAGCTTTGACAAATACAAGGGCTAAACAGCTTGATCAACGTTCTCGCTTTCTTTTAGTTATTCTTCTTGAGTTGAAAAGTCGTACGCATGCCCCCATGGAAAGTAGTCAGAAGCACACTACTAGTAGGACTAATTAATTAATATAATGCATACTACTCGCCCATATTTGTCAGTATATATGTGTGTTCACCAAGTCAAAATCCAGCTAATGCCTACCAACTTCAAGGTTTTCAGCTTTTGACGAGCTCGTCATTTGCGTGAAGCCCTTGGCATCAGAAAACGGGGTGGAAGCTAGCATCAGAATGACGTACCAACAATAATTGGCATATATAATATAGTACTCCCTCCGTCCCCTAATATAAAAGCGTTTTTGGAGTGTCAAAAACGCTCTTATATTATGGAACGAGAGGGAGTATATGATATATGTGTACTAATTGGATTTAAATATATGAATGTATGAAATAAAATAAACTGTTCCCCGGCCAAAAACAAAATAAATTGTTAAGCAAAAATTCATTACCGGATCGAGTAAGATGTTGGATGCCTTGAAGTCGCGATATATGACGGGCTTCTCTGCGTCATGAAGGAAGGCGAGGCCCTTGGCGGCGCCCACCGCGATGTTCAGCCGGGTTGACCACGACAGAACAGGAGGAAACTCTGCCAAACAAGCACCAAATTCAGGGTCGGTGTGAAAGTTTGATATTTCTGCGACGCTTGTGTAGATATGCCAAGTTAGTTCGAATGCACATAGGCGTCATCACATCATGATTAGAGTCAATGCGCTCGATCTTTATTTATCGATATGATGACTAATCATCACCACATCATGTACAACTATAGTAATATTTTGGTCATCATTCGGCATGAGTGGTTAGCTATCGTAAAACAACCGAACAATAATAATTTTGTAATGAAATAATCCAAACTGTGATGTGCAAGTGTGATCAGAGCGCAGTTTTTGTTGAGGTTCTTTTTAAGTTTTTGCAAACAGCTAAAAGTCTAGTTTAACTTAACTTGTGGCAGTTCCTCTGGTAAAAATCGACGTGAAGGTTGAAAGCTCGTTGTTGAAAAGAAAGGTCTGGGTCGACGGCAACAACTGGGCCTATCAGTTCCCACCCGCCCACAGGAAATGCACGCCTGTCGTCTGTTCTATAGAGGTCAGACGGAAGTTCAGATGGGCCAACGAAGTCAACAGTGTAGTAACGTCGGACTGGTCAACTAGCTCGTGTGTAAACCCTCAGAAGGAAGTTTTTCCTCTTCTTTCTGGTTAATTAGTCCTAGATTGATTGCTGAAAGCAGCTACATCCTTATCTGTATTTCCCGTAAAAAGGAGAGAAAGAACTCGCTGTAGAAGCAGCTATATATATAGCTACAGCTAGAATTCATGGAGTGGTAGTCAGCGGCCGGTGCTGACGTCGACGCTGGTAATATAATATGGCACACGCCACACGGCATGTGTACGCAGCTAGCTGTAGTTTTTAACGGCGGCATGCAGCACACGTTGCTCGAACGAGCGTGCACACACATCTTCCACCTAATGCAGGGAGAGTAGTTAATGAGAAGTGCTATGCACACGACATATTCTTGCACGATTCACAAACAAAGTTGAATCCAGCCAGACATGCATATGACTGAGAAGGCCACTAGCTGCTGGATTTTCACGTCGTGCACAGATCGGGCGCAAAAATCATGCGTGGAGCAGTTTGGTTAGTTAATCAAGATCAATATACTTATGTCGGTCTTACTAAATGTAACATAGTCGTGCTCGTGGTTAAAGTAAAGAATGCTGATTGGAGTAGTTTAGCTATAGCTGCAATATGGATCTTCTTTTATTGAATTACTTTTTTAAACAGTTTTATTGAATTACTTGGTTTTTTATTTTGCGGGGCTTGAATTACTTGGTTGAAGTGCAGCATGCAATCAACATTTCTATTTGCAACGCATGTGCAAGTCTTCAATATATATAGTTGAAGTTTTAGCACTACTAAATACTAATTGGCAAATTAGCAACTAACGAAATACCATGAAAAATTATCGATCCGTCTTTGATCATGCACATGGGCATTTTAGTACTCTAAAAAAAGTAAGTAATATAGACAAGTGAAACGAATAAGTAGGTTGCTTACTTTTGAAGAGATGGTTCTCGAGGCTGCCTTTGGCCATGTACTCGTAGACGAGCAGCCGGTTCTCGTCCTCGCAGCAGTAGCCGATGAGCTTCACGAGGTTCGTGTGCCGGAGCTGCCCAAGGAAGATCACCTCCGACTGCACCAAAGCAACCAGCACCAATCGGTCAAATCCATCCATGCATGGCTGTGTGCATCACACGTACACATCTACTAGGTTGTTAACGAGCAATGCTACACCTACTTAGTAATCAAACGTAAAGTAATCTAATGGCTTAGGTGGCTTTTTTCAGTTGGAGGAAATTATGAGAGGGGCCCCACCCAGTTGGAATCAGCGGGGCGGAGGGATTAATAGTTAGGCTAATTACGCAACTGTACGTAGACTTTTACGTAAGTGTAGCATTTTTGGTTGTTAACCCCATCACGCTACGCGGTGGGCACGCACGCACCAGCCACTCCTTATGGCCCTGGGCGCCCTGGGGGTCCCAGAGCTTGACGGCGATGGGCTGCGCCTTGAGCCCCGGCTTGACCTTGTCGTCGACGGCGCCCTTGTAGACGGGGCCGAACCCGCCCTCGCCCAGGAAGTTGTCGTCCAGGAAACCCTGCGTCGCCGCCTTGAGCTCCGCCACCGTGAACACGTGGAGGTTCGAGCCCACCAGCGACACCGACAGCTCCTGCTCCGACGCCGCGCTCATCACGTCCGTGAACGACAGCCGCTGCCCGGCCCCCGCTGCCGCCGACGACTCGCGCTTCCTCGGGCCAGGGCCGGGGCGGACCTGCTTCCCCGTCTTCCCGCCGCCCCCGCCCAGGCAGCTGCCCAGGAGGGAGCCCCACGCCGACCGCTGCTTCTTCTTGGACGCCCTCGGCATCCTGCTGGCAACGAAGCTTTTGCTTGACCTTGATTGTGAGTCGTGATCGACTTGATTGTGAGCTTCAAAGTGTTGGGTGGATCGGAAGATGGGATTGGATCGAGAGAGCCCACGCGAGGAGTATTTGTAGCAAGGAAGAAAATGCTAGCTGATGAGGAAGAGGAAGATGAAGAGCCCGTGTGGCCGGCCGTGTGGAGAGACGACCGTACGAGCCTTTTACTCACCTACCGCCGAATACATGGACGTCTTCTTCTAGTACTACTTCGACTCTTGCCGCGTTGAGGCGTTTGACTTGCAGCTCGGGTGACATGTCGCTCCACTGACCGTTGACTCGTCAAAGCTACGGACCGGTGATGGTTAGAAATAAATGGGCTTGGCCCATTAATAATTTTTGATATCTTAAAGTGGCCCAAGGGAAAATTGCAAGTGATGGGTGGTGCTAAAGTTTAGTCTCATACCCCTAGTTGAGAAAGAGTTGGACCCTATATATATGTATACTAGCACAAATGCCCGTGCGTTGCAACGGAAAAAAAAAGTCTCAATCTTAAAAACAAGGTTCAAGTCCCCACACAGGTACACGCCCACCATTTGAACACAGTGGAGAAGCACTAATAGCATAAACCGTGAATATGAAATATTAATAAAGCTTAATTTCCTGTTCAAGTTTAATAGTGCCAAAAAAAGTTACAAAGGCATGCATTGTTTTGTACATGGATTGATAGCTACAGAGTATCTACTGCTAGTGTGGATTTTGTAGCTTGAATTGTACCCTTCCTGCTTAGAATAAGAGATTTTTACTATGCCAAATCTCATTTCATGACATTAATAACAAAATTTCAAATTTTAAAACGTTATCCTACTGTAACAATTTTAAATTAAATTGATGAAATCTAACAGGCTAATATTTCTTTTAGGTGAGACCCTATATTCATTTTTTCTTAGGAATATTCAAAATCTCATTGTTAGTTTATTTAATTTTCTAAAATGAAATTTTATTTTTTATATGATCTTCCTTGGTCATTGTACCTGAAATATGACTATGTTTGTAGGAAAAATAAAACAAAAACTTAAATGTGTAGTTAATTTTATTTTATTTAGAAATATGAGCATACATGTTTTGATTGTTTGCACCTGATTATATTTTTTTGGAAAGATGTTTTGATTGTTTGCACATAATATTATTTTTTGGTAACAAAAAAAAGCCTCAAATGTGTAGTTAATTTTGTCATCCGCATGATTCTTCATGTCTCGATTAAACCATCAATTGTCTCCAGGTTCCAAAGTTATAAAGGAGGCACACTATAAGAAAGAAAAACATTAGAAAGAAAAAAAGCACAAATTTAACCATAGAAGAAAAAATGTTGCCACTATGCCTCTTCATCAAGGCGATTACCAGTTACAGTGAATACCCTTCTTTCAACGACTTCCCGGTACTCATGCCCGATTGATTCTCTCATTACCTGCATCAGAGGGAAACAACACTGAATAACACACATTATACTATTCTATCTTCAGAGATATCAGGCTGATAGCATACTATCAATAATCTACCACAATGGTTAAGAAACATTTGTGTAAAGTTACTCAAAGTCCATAAGACAATTGGCAAAAACATAGTTGAGTAGTATCTTTCTTTTACTTTCTAGAACATATAAGCATTAGCGAAGTAACTTGCACCCTGCTAGATGTTCAGAATTCCTATGGGTTCTAGCCTGGATGGCTCATAGACATGTTTTTGGCAAAGTAGAGTGGTTTCTCCCTGCTGCTGCTCTATGAAGGTATATCAAATCAAATAGCCGTAGTAGTAAACAGAAATAAGGACTGGTTTTAACTTTTTGTGTATGTATCTAAAGAAAAGATTAGAGGGAACATTTATTCACAGGCAGAGGAGGAAAATCATCACATACATGTCAATTTGGACATTTCCAGTTGAAAACAATACCTGAAAATCATCCATCTGTTCCTTCATTTTCTTTTTCGCTGCTCTGTAGAGAGAGAACAGAAAGCAGAGTGAACAAGGACTAATTCATGCAGGCAAGAAGAGACCGGAAACAAAAATTGATAGAAAATTAATTTACCCAATCCCTTGATCGATCTACCACAGAGCCCTTCCTGCATCCAGGTTTCTGCATGTTAGGTAAGTTCTGTAGCATAGCATAGGGGCAAGCAGCAAACCATAATCAGATACCGCTAGGAAAGAATAACAGACAAACATGAGCAAGGTTAAGTGAAAGCATACATACGCAGCACGTGATCAGCTAAGACAACTATTTGCGTACCAATCAATGTAAAAAATACAACCTTTGTTCATTGTAGCAATGATACGGTGCCAGCTTAAAGTACTTTTACCAGAAAAGAAGACACATACCATCTCATATTTTCCAGAGCTCTGAAAGTAAAAAACCAACAGGTGCAAGAATCGGAACAGAGAACAGCATAATCCACACTTTTCTTTATAACTGCCCAAAGAATGGACCATCGAACACCTTCCGTGCACGCTCCAGATCACCTGCCCGCAGCCCCGGATCAGCGTGTTGAAGGAGTAGATGTCTAGGACGACGCTCTCGTTGACCCAGGCGTTGTGGATCCGCCTGGCCATGGCCCCATGGCTGCGCAGCAGTCCGGACCTGAGCCGCTGCATGCCGGTGGTCAATTGATCCCCGTCGACGACCCTGACGCAAGGATGAGCCACCTCGAGTTGAGCCGTCCTCCGCCTCCTCCACCGCCAGCACATGGACATGAACTCATGGTCGCATTAGTCCCTCTCATGGGCGACAGGATTGACGGGAGACACGGTGGTCGCGTGCCCGTGCGGCTTGACTCGTCGTTTGTGGTGGCATGACTCCCGCGTCCATCCTTCCAACGTCTCCTCCCCGACCTCGTCATACTCCCCGCCATCTTCCCCAAATCACGGCCTCCAGCAGCGCCATCTCCGGCTCCTTCCTTCGGAGCAGATGCAGCGGCGCCCACGAGCTCACGTTCGCGTTTAAGGCAAAATCGACCGGGTGGCCGGCAGATCCAACCATGGAAACCATGCGAGGGGATGGGGGTGGGGGTGGGGGAGTGGCGGCGGGGGTTGGGCTAGCAGCGCGCGGCGGCGGGGTCGTGGCAGGAGGCGGCGGCGTGATGGAGGCGGATATAGGATTGGGAGGCAGGGTCGTGAGGGTGTTTTTTTTATCTCGACCGTACCGGTTCGACTGACTTGTTTCAAGTACTGCGGGTCTAATTACCAAAATCACGTGAGGGTGAATCCGTGCTTTATTATTAATTAGGAAATATGTCCGTGCGTTGCTACGGGTTGGACGGGCAGTGGTTGTGGAGAGAGGGGTGCATGGTTGAGTGCATTTTTTCTTGAATTTAAAGAGCATTCTTCAAGAGTTTAGTACTAATTCAAAGTTTTTTTAAGTAAGAGCACGCATGATGTTTTTAGTCTGACTTTAATATGAAGTCTCAATTCACGGTTAGCTGTAGTTAGCTCTATTCTAGCTTTCTTTTGTTCTGCTTGCATATTTGTGTATTTCTGCCTTTTTCATGCACACTTTTTGATCTTCTATGTTGGTTTCATGTTTCAATATTTCTTCCTTCCTTGTGTTTTTTTTTTGCAATTGGGGTGAATATTTAGTTACTTTTTAGTTGATAGGCTTCACGAAGCCTTTTCAGTGTTTCCTAATTTTCTTCATTGGTCATTCGTGCATACTGCTCTCTATCTCTTTTCCTTCTTTTTTTCCTTAGTATCCATGACTCGAGACTGCCATCAAAATTGCTTGCCTGCATGTATACTTTAAATAGAGCATATGTAGCTACTTATTAATAAATTTAATTCCGCTGGACATAAGTATATATGTTGTTTGCATGCTAGAGTATCATACTTTTCTTTGAGGTAATTTAGAAAGCGAAAACATGATATTAAAGTATGAGCAATGCTATATACATCATGTTTTTTGTCCAACAGAGTTTAGTACGACGTTGTAGATTGGTTTGTAGATGCCATGTTCCCCGTATCACCTTCAAGATGACCATTTTCAGAGACATCAAACATAGCATCTTGTTCCTCATTCGGAACAACAACTTTATTGAGAACAACTAAAGACTTTGTGGCCATGACATGTAAATGCCTATGTTTTAACGTCGATGATTTATTTTGCACACTATAAATCGGGATAAGCAGCTCCAGAAGATAATTTACTTATTTAGTGGTTGAACCCCAACTCGGTGCACTCACGGCGCATCCACGCAAGCATATTTTGTAATTTTTTCATTTTTGTTCAGAGCTCCTCGAATGTTATTTGACCACAAAACTTTGTAAGTGCCCATAACATTTGTTGATGACCACTCCCCCAAAGTTTCAGAATTTTTTAAAATAATTTGCTATATTTTTTTGCATGGATGCACCGTGGTTACACCGAGTTGGGGTGTATAAAAAACACTCTCTTATTTCATTGGGCGTCGAGACATATATGTTTCCACCATGTGTCCTGATCTATATAGTTACTATGAGTACATCAAAAGCATCCTTAAAAAAACTTGTTTTCAAGCGGCTGTTTCCAGGCGTCACGTGCGAACGATGCGTGTCCTCTGGCACACACGCACCACTGTCCCTCCTCGACCTTATTCTTCTCGGCGCCCCTTCTCCCCATCCCCGATTCCCTTCCTCTCTTCTCTCCCCTTATCTCTGTCCAGCGGGGAACCCCAGTGCTGTGCAAGCACAAGCCGCTCACGCAGATTCTAAATTATGAATCCAAAATCCTGATCTCGCAAAGGATCCGCAATAGTTGTGTGTACTCGAGGACTCTTAGGGAAAGAAAAGCACTTTTCTCTCTCAGCAGTTAGACCGGCTATGGGTGGGTTGGTTATATACTGCGCCTTCCTTCTTCGAACCTTTTGGTATGTATTGCCCCCTAACTATAGATCAGATCCACCGGACCAGAAACTCAATTCCGCACTGCTGCTGAGTCGTCGGACTTATCCACCTCAGGGTTTCGTGGAATTTCCGTTTTTGA